TACAACAAAATATACATTTTGCATTTAAGGTGAAAAAAAGAAACTTGCCTTTAAATATGTTCTACCCAGAACTCCTCAAGTAAAAAAATATCTTATTAAACACTTTTTGCTCTACAATTTTTTTGTTAATCCAAAGGAATACTCAACAGATCAGCTCTACACTATGTTTGTTAAGTCAAGCAGAAAGGATTTTCACACGTTGTTCATAAAAGCATTTCTTGGCTGCAGATGCATAAAAACGCTCTTACCGTGTCCTGATCCGGTGTGTTTGGGTCTAGACAGCCATTTTATTAAAAAATCTCTTATTTGATGCTACACACTGTTTTCAGCGTGTAGCATTGACCATTTTCCATTGACCATTTTATGGTCAATGGAAACTGGGTTTCCATTGACCATAAAATTGCCCAAATTAAAATTGCAAAAATAAATTTGCTTTATGGAAACGCAGTAATTTCTAAAAAACCCTCTCGTTTTATGATGGAAAGTTTTTCCACTGGGATGAGGTGGGTTTTTTTTTTCTCCTTGCTGTATCAGAACTGATGTATTTTGCAAAACTGCAAAGGAAACGTTCTTTTTGCATCACCTGATCAACGTGTGGATGTCACCATTGGCGATAAGATGATGAGCTACGGCTGAATTACAAACATCTCATGTAACTGTTTACATCCATCGCTTTAATGGCTCATAGCGAGAACAAGCTTACGCTCCTGTGATTTTAATTTCCTATTTAATGGAAACAGTGCAGTTGCAAAATAGCTTTTTTTTTTTCTTTTTTCAAAATTAGCAGATTATAAACAAAGATTTGCACACATTTGTAATGGAAAATCAGCCACAGTTAGTTTTTGTTCAAAGCTTGATCACTGCTCAGTTTTTAATCAAGTTAGATTTTATTTAACAGCTTTTAGACCAATTATAGTCAATATTTTTATAGCAATGAATATGAAAATTTTAGAACTATTTTGATTCTGCTTTTCTGGAATAGCAGTTTAATAGCATGTAAGTATCTGTTTATTTTATTCTATTTTTCTACAAATTAATGAACTGTTTTAAGTGTCCAGCCTTGATTGGGTGTTGGTAGGAAACATTAGTATTTGTCATTTAATCGGTGTCACACTAGAGTGTTTCAACCCTTTTTCCCAGAAACTAACAAGCTAAATCCTCTCTGATCTTAATTAACAGCAGTTTGTCTGAATATTTCAGGAGCTGATGCAAAGCCAGACAGGAAAAGCTTTTCCTTTGCAGCAGCAGATAATTGGAGGAAAATGTCAGCCCAGAAGACTCGGATGTGTCTCTGAGCAGTTTTTAAAACGCTTAATGAGTGGATGCCCACTTCTGCTAACATTTTCCTCGTTTTATGACCATTTGTGGTCATGCAGAAAGTATGATGAGAAATACAGCACAGACCATCTTCTTCATTTAAAGCTTTTACATTCAGTAAACTGCCCTTCCTGGTTGCTAACTCACTCGGTGATATAAGCCAAACTGGACTTTATTGGATCCATTTTTGAAAACAAACTACTGAGAAAAGGAGTCATTTAGAAAATAAACTCCTTTTAATTATGTCAAATTGATTAGAAACGACTATATTCCAAGACTACTGCTCCTCTAATCTACATTTTAGTGTAATTCCTTTCGCCTGGTGGTGATTGTCGAACATCTTGATTTAACTGGCTTGGAATAAATTATTTAGACTCTTAAGTCTGTCTGATGTTTGAAACCTCAAATGTTTAAGGGGATAAGCTACAGAGAAAACTGATTTCAGTACCTGATATTTAGGATCTCATCATTTTCTCATGTCGTGACGACAGGTGAGGGTCTTTATCAACACAAATTGGTAAATTGAGAGCTTTTATTTTTGGTTTGTCTTGTTCTTCAACACCAAATATTAGAACAGAACCTGTATTTCTCCACATTATGGCTCCTGATTGTCATGATCCGTGTTTCTGTGTTTAGTTTTGAGTTTTTCTGTGTGATTCTGTTTCCCGTGAGTCTCTGTCTGTCTTCCCTGTTGATTGCTCCCCAGGTGTGTCTACGTACCTGATTACCCTCCCTGTGTATTTAAGTCCACCTGTTGTCTTTGTGTTTTGTCAGATCCTCGTCTAATGTCAGTTCTCAGTTTTGTCTTAGTCGTCACAGTAGAACTGTATAGTCCTGTGACGGCGTTAGCTCATGTATGTCAGTCTTTAGTTTCAGTTGCTACCGGTATCAAGCTGTTGCTTAGTTTTCTGCCGTGCCGCCTGAACTGGACTGTCGAGCGTTTCATCAATAAATTCATCATTTTCTTCATAACCCGGGTTCTCTGCGTCTCTCCTCACCACCAACCATGACACTGATACACTGATCATCCATCCTGTTGTCACTTCACTGCAAAAACACAAAATCTTACCAAGTATTTTTGATCGAGTTTCTAGAGCAAATATCTCGGTTTGTCAACTTGTCAAGTTTGCTAACTTGCAACTAACTTTTTGGCAAGCTAAAGCAGATTGTTTTACGCTGCTAATTCTTTCATATTGATGGAAAAGTTCCAGTTCCATTGGCAGATTGTTTAACTTGTAAGTCAATTTTCCCATATCTACCAGTAGAACAAGTACTTTTTCATAAATATTAAGGAATTATTGACTTAAAAGGTTTGGAAATATGCTTTTTCAAACCATTCTTAACTAACGAAGCATCATAATCATACCTGTCATTTGCTAAAAAAAAAACCTTTAACCCAATAAACGGCTCAACTAAGCCTGGTGTGGAGCAGGGAATATATCGCCATGGTAACTTATGTGTTACGAATCGGGGATTAATTAAGCCAGGACATCTGGCTTAATCCGCTATCCTGGTTTTGTGAAACATCCCTGGCGTTTGCTGTAACCAACACAAGAGATGACAATGGATGAGCTGCAGAACGGATGACGGCTGCACAGATTTATATTATTCATGTCTCACTAAAATAAATGTGGTCTTGACGGTGATGTAGAGCATCTTAATCTGAAAGGACCAAAAAATAAACATGTTTTTATTCTCATCAAGGCAAAGTTGTTTCTGCCATGAAGAAAGTCATTTATGCAACAGACATAATGCACTTTTACTCGAATAGGTTTTATATTAGAGCTATAATAGAGTTTATTATTGTTTCTCTTACATTAAATCCCTAATTTCAAGGTGCTGTATGGATAAACAATTGTGCACTTATGCAAACATAAACAAAGTGCAGCAAAAATACAAAAATATACTCGAATTTAGACACTAAAATAAAAAGGTAGAGCCCACTAATGGACTGCAGGATGTCTCGGCGTCCTGAATCGTCTGAGTGTTTGAATAATGCTGGTTGTGTTTGCAGGGAGGAATATGTTCAGTGGTTATTTGCAGCCCAGGGCAGAATCTGCTGTTGGTAAATGTGATGAAGCTCCATCCAGAGGACAGACAGGTGATGGGTGGGATATGAAAGGTCTCCTGGGAGGAATCTGTGCGTCCCTGAGGCCACAGGAAATGGATATGCCATCCAGAGAGGGGAGAGGGCATCGTATGGTGTATTTATTTATATTTTGGACAATATTTCTCTAAAGCTTTTGCATCCCACACAGGGACAGTATGTTAGAAAACTCTCCTCAGAGGAATGATGCCGTTTCTTGACTAGATTGCTTTTTACCAAGGTGTTGGTAAGAGGTTGGACATGATGCGAGTAATCAGGAAACTGTTTCCATTTGTTCTCCGTTTATGAGGAGAAGGTTGTGGCCTCGTCTGATGGCCCTGAAATCCTCGTAAACCGGTAGATTCGGTTTGATTGGGGAGCAAAATTACATCTGCTTTTGCTTTTTCTCTGCACTGTCAAATGAACCAAACACTTTGAAAACCTGTTCCCTTCCTCACCTGTGGGGGCGCTGCACCAAGAACTACTGCATGGAAACGACACCCAAACTTCAGAAGAAGACATTAGTGCAACTTAAACAAAAATGGTGTCATCAGATTTTAGTGTTTGCAGGATTTCTCTTTTGTGTTTGGTAAAAAGCCACAAATTATTTCACCTGCCAGCGCTTGACACACGTTTGCTTTGATTGTATTTACCCAGAATGCCCTGCGCTGTAGTCCACTTCCTGCTTTTACTTTGGTCTCCGGTCTGCTTGGCATTTATAAATTGAATAATGTGATAATACTGATCGCCGCATTTCTTTTTCTTTTGTCGCAACGTCCCTATCGCCCTCTTTAAACTTTGACAGCTAAACTATGTTTCACTTGTGGGCTAAAGCACTGAGAGGTCCCATTTACAGAGCCAAATGTACAACTCCACAGCCATAAAAACATTAAAACCCATCCAATATTGCATCCAAAAAATATGCAGCTCTGTCTCAGAGAGAAAAGAAAATGCTGCCTTTTTCATAGCATTCAAACATCTTTTTAAATTTTTTTACCGAAAATATAATTAAATCTGAGCATGTAACAGTCATTAAAGCATGTGAACATGCATTAGAGATTTAAGCTTTTCAGCTTTAAACTGCTGGACCTATTTTTCTTTTTAATTGCTTCTTGTGCAGCTCTTTTGTAACCACAGCTGTTATCATCATGTAACAATAAAACCTGATTTTTTTTGTTCCTGATGAACCTCTAAAAAAATGAACACAAGTGTCCGTTTTTTACCTGAACTGCAGTTTGAGTCTTTTTGAATATACAAGTTCTGCCAATTAGGTTTGATGGCTTTGTTTGAACATTTAAACTATTTCATAACAGGAGCCATCAAATAAACAAAATGTATTTTTAAATAAGTTTTCTTTAGACATTTTACTTATTTCAAAAGGTTGTTTTTCAAGTTGCATGTAATTATTTAACTGCATATTTCACAATTTCATTATATAATTATTCATTTGTCTATTTAATAATTTAATTACTTAATGTTTTTAATAATTTTATGATGCATTTAATTAATTAATTAATTAATGGGAGATTAACACACATATTTTATGGTATTTATATAATTTTGTCACTCCTGACCCTCCATACTTTACATCTTTAGTATAATCATATAAGGCGTTGGTGTTTGAGTGATTTAAGGTTTACGTACCAATCATGAAGATGACCTTTGGTTTCTTCTTTTCTGTGCAGTGACCTGTCAGAGGAACAACAAAATGTGTTCAAACATTTCATTCAGACCAAGATAAAAGGCTGTGTTGCCTTTTCGATCACACTTTTTTTTCTGTGACCTGAAAACCAGATTTTTATTTTCCAAAGGTGACGACCTCTCTGTAAATCTGTCCATTCTGAAAATCAAACCTGGACCGTGAACAGTTCACTTAAAAACCTCAAAAGTAAGAACGAGTCGCAACTCAAACTTGTCATCATTTCACAAGACGCACAGAATTTTTCTCCTTTTCAGTCTTTTTTTTTTAAATGCAACAATAAAAACGTGAAACTGGGTATTTAAAGACGCCTTTAGGCAGAAATCCCATTCAACATTTTTATTTTTTGTGCTGAAAAATTTTCCAATCCTTATAAAACTAACTCTGACCAGAGCAAATGAGCACAGAGGTTCAGTGGAAAACAAATTGATTTTTTTTAACCAAAAAAGGCAGTTCTTGTTGAAACTTGCTGATTAGATTTCATTGTTTTTGAAAAATGCTGCAAAAAATTTGACACCCATTACAAAGTAGTTAGTTTGCACTTCCTGCCAGTTTTGTTTGTTTTCCCTGCCAATGTTCAGCGATTAATATTTTTGAAAAGTTATTTTAGTAACAGAGACTTCATAATACATTTTAATTACTGTTTCAGTTGTTTTATTTATTATGTCCTTTAGAAATTAATGTCTATTTATCTTTGAGAGCGTGTACTTGCATTAATGTTTTTATTGAAAACTGTCTCAAACTGATATTAGTTTATTGCAATAAATAATTTCTGGAACAATTTATCATCCAGGAAAATTTATCGTGACAGCCCTGAAGGTATTTTAAACTTTTATGAGCATGAATAATAAAACTGAAACATTAAAGCCTGACATTCATGCAGCTCTTTAAGCAGCTTGAATGCAGTTTGTTTTGCCGTCCGTCTGTTGGAGATGAGCGACATCGGGCCTGAATCCACTGACCAGCCTCCCCAGATGATAACGGCTCAATACTGTTGATGCAGAGTGACAAACCCAAACTGACGTCGGCCGTAGAGGGAAGTTCATTCATTTGTCTGGTCAATAATGCTAATAATGCTGCAACGCTTTTGGCAGTTCCAGATAAAATGCCAAATGTTTCTAATTAAATCAGCAGCTGGGACAGAAAATATGGCGCACAAGTTATTTTTCCTCTCTCATTTTTAATTAGCATATCTAGTAAACTTACTTTCTGTGGCTCCTTCAGCATACTCCTCCTCTTCATCAGCCTGGGGAAGGAGAGAAGTTAAGATGTTATCTGTTGTGTTTTAATCTGATTCTTTGGTTTTTAGAAATTCAGATGGCTTTGAAATGATTCACAAGTTTAGATATTGTTTATTGTGTCCAATGTCAAATGTGAATTGTTTTATTTATTTACATTATAGTCATTTTTTTTAGTTTGCATGGAGAAACTCCTGTTGGTTTTCTTAGCAACCCAGAACAAGTGCTAAACTAAGTAGCACTTTGTTTTATTTTATGAAATTAGATCACATGTTCAAATTTCATGAGTTAAATGTCTGCAGAGCATTGTTTTGGTCAGGCTGAATAAAAAGTTATGTTTTTATTCTTTTAAGTAAATTTTCTAGTCCTCGTATCCAGATTTTTCTACGTGGGTGTTTTTTAAAAGAAGCCAATTGAAACATGCTGTTTAGCATTTTAATCAGTTTTTATTTGCTGTGCTGCCACATCAAACAGTCGAAGCAGCAACTATTTAAAAAAAGGAAAACAAAACCTACCAAACTGTGATTTGTGTCCCATTGCACTGCATATGAATATTCATTTATTCATACTTATTTCTCACTGAAACAATCCTTTTGGTCTCGGCAGATGAAGAACCTTGATGGCAAATGTTGCATTTGCAGAAACAAAGGTATTTAATTAAGTCTCTTCATGAAAAACTGTACAAAATTTGACAAACCTGAGAATTAGATTTGAGTTTCTGACTGGTAATCAACGTGAACCACATCAAAAACTGAGTCATTTCTATTCAGTTGAATAAAAAAAAAGAAATGCATCCAAAGTAGTGAGTTAATGTAGCAGTGAGTCTGTTGGCATTTTAAACAGTGCAGATTGTGCAACGCATTCAGAAAAATCTGAAACAAACAACTATTGTCTTCCCTCCTAACAATTCAGCGTGAGCTTTCATCACCTCCTGCTTTTCTTTCACATCCCACTGAAATGCGTTTGGATATGCAAAGGCTTCGCTTAACGTCTAAAGAACGGCTTTCATCATGCACTGAATGCTCAGTGAGGTGATTGTCTGGCAGCTACGTGCAGAAAAGAAAGCACAACTGCGAAATGTGTTCTCGTTCCAGTCCGAGGCGGCTCCAGACAATACGTTTTGTGCTCTTTTTGTAAAGCAAAATCAAAGCGAGCTGCACGGCAAACATAATAGATCTTTTGATGAAATGTTTCACGAAGCGACGTATGAGTTTTAATTTGATTCCATCCGCCGTTCTAACACAACTCCCAGAAGATTTATCTGCATTTCTGTAAACAGGAGGTAATTAAAACCGCTCTCACATCATGAATGACTCGGGTTGCTCCGACACCTACAGTGTTTTCCTCCATCAGTGAAACTAATTTTATTAGGGCAAAAGTTATAGTTGTTTGACGTTTAGAAATCGAATCCTTGCAGATGAGGTCAGGGTGAAGTAATTAGTTACACGCAAGACTTTTTTTTATGTTTTGGAAGTTAAATATGTGCAGTTTCTTGTTCAGAGCTAACTGGGCAAATCTGGACACCCTGTTGCATTAAAACTGCAACTTTTTTTTTTCCTGCTTCTGTTTGCTTTTCACTGGATAAACATTGGAGATAAACCCCAAAAAACATAATTACAGAAATAGGAAGCGGTATCTGACATCCTCAAACTGCTGCTAATGAAATGGATGAATGTGAGAAAATAAATTGCGTCCTAAAAATTTAACTTTGGTCAAACAACAAATGCAAAGCAAATATGACAGGGGAGCTCTTTTCACATTTATTCTGCATGTATAAAGTGGTGGAGGAGAAAAATGTTTCAGGAAGTGAACAGAAGATTACAAATAAAACTCAATATCTTTTCCCTTATGATTTTAAACAAGAAAAATGTAATATTCACGACTACAAATGGGAGCATTGTAGTACCAGTGGCTCTCCAGTAGGTGGTGACAATGTCAACATTAAACACTTCAGCTCAGCTCTGTGGCTTTGGGATGAATTGGAGCAGAGTTTGCAAGTCAGGGCTTCCCGTCCAACATCAGTGTCTGACCTTAGAAATGCACTTATGGAAGAACTCTCCCATAAAAACACTCCTGGATATTATAGTCAGCCTTCATGTTGTTTGGTCAATGTTATAATAAAGCCTTTCAGTAAAGAACGGGATGTCAAAGTTCATGAGCGTGAATACTTCTGTTGTTACTTGTTTTTATTGTGATTTAATAAAAACAAAATCAGTGCTTTGACTGCAGAGGTGATTACAACATTTGGATGCCTGTTGCTGTGAAGCCCAAGCATAGCTGGAGTTTGGGGATCGGTGGAGCCTCTCGGGTAAAAAGTGGAGCCCGGCGCTGTTATTGGTGATAAATAAATGGTGTCAGTGTGGAGGAGTGGGTGCCAGTAACAAGCCAGCTTGTCATGTGGGTACACCAACTGGTGTGATGACTCACAGGCAGAAACACATGCACGGCACACAGCACTCCCACGCGATGGGTATAAAATATTCATGCATGAACGCCAAAACCCTCAGTAAGACGCACCGATCAGTTCATTTGTAGGGAGGAGATACAGTAGAGACGATGCGCTCAGGCTTACACAAACATCCAAAAATAACTCCATCTGTTATAGATTTTAACTGCTTTCATTGACTTGGCATTTACTGGAATCTGATTTGGAGCTTTTAACCCATTTTCTGTTGTGCATGTTAACATAAATCTTTCATTGTTTATACATTTAATTGCATGATACACCTGAGAGTCCGTTAGACTCTGTTTGATTGGGGACCAAAGTTGCAACATTTGTTATATTTTCAGCTGCTGTGGTTCATTTTCACACAGCACTGAGTCAAACAAGCCAAATTAACCAAAACCTGTTCCCCTCCTCGCCTGTGGTGGCGCTGCACCAGGGAAGGAAATGACTTAAAAACCTCTGAAGAAGACAATAAGTTTGTTCACGTGGTGAACAAGCCTCATCCTCCAACCGCTTCCTGTCGTTGTCTTCATCTTCTCCGCTAATAGTAACATCCGCTTGTTGATCACGTGACTCGCATGATGTGAATTTTTTCTTTTCCATTGCAGTTTTGCAAAATATACAAATTTCCATACAGCCTAAAAACCAAAAACATTTTTTCAGAATGGCCTGTTTTCATCTAGCAAAATTATTTTTGTAATGCCAGTTTGGACAATTACATGGTCATTGGGAACTAAAATAGCTGCTTTCTCCAACCATTAAATCAGCTTTTCTAGCTTGACAAGCTGAACTTTTTCATGCATGAATTGTGGCTCTTCATGTCAGGATATTTTTCCAACGTGCTTTTGATTTTCTTAAAGCATGAAAACAAGTGGGGATTTTTTTTAATGTGATTAGTTGTAATTTTCTCCAAATACAAAGTTATTTGGAAAATACATCACTAGTATTGTTCTTTAGGGGTTCCTTGATGTCATGATATATATATATATATATATATATATATATATATATA